TTACTCACTGGGGGCTTTGGGTGGGGATGCTGTAAAGCGCTTTGAGACAATGTAATGTTGTGATAATGCACTATACAAAAATTAATTTGTTCTTGTTGTTGTTGTATTTAGTCCGCGTTTCCGTTTGTTTCCGCAGTCCGGTCATTGTTATGTCAGCCCGTGGTTTGCTTGTTCCTTTTGTTGCTGTGTATATTAAACCCGGTGTTTGCCCCGATTCTTGACTTCCTGCGCCTTTTCTGTGCTCCGTGTACTCTCTTGCACGACAGTATTCTTTAAATTTTTTAAACATTTCAGTTAAATATAATGAGCTTACGTGCATTTTCTTTTAAAATACGCCAGGGCGCTTGTGTCTACTACGGACGGAACCCTGCTGGATGTGTATGCACTAGCTTACGTTCATCCTGCTATATGTTTTATTATTCCTTAAAACGTAATTAAAAGTAACACATTCATAAATACATGTAATGTATTTTTATTCTATTAAAGTTTAATGGCAACATCTCCCCAAACCATACGCCCCCTATCAGCAACACGTGGCATAAGCATGTATGATACCATTTCACATTACCATAGACCAATCAGAACAAGGGATACGCCCCCCTCCCGCTTATGATGTCATAGACGGGTGGAGCTTTAGGCTCCTCCCAAAGTGCCACATACTATTTTTTTTCATGGGCAAAGAGTTTGAAAAAAAGCTCATGGCAAGATTGAAAGAACTCTCAGGTATCTACAGTAGGGTTCCAACACAACACCCTATCACCGGCAAGGAAATGGACAGGTGGAGAGATTCAATCACAACTTGTTGTCCATGTTACAGACCCTAGAGGACAAAGAGAAGGACCAATAGTAGAAACTAAAATTGAAAAGAAAATGGACAGTAAGTTGAAAAAAAAAATCATGAACTATAATAAAAATGAAAACTATATTTACCACAAAAAAATATGTGTTGTACTTTAATGTCCAAAAAGCACTGCCACACCACCACCATTTTTAAATCTATTTTAACCACAATATCTTCTCCTTTAAAATATGTTGTGGCTGCTGAGCTGTCTTTCTTCCCCTTCTTCTTTCTTATCACTTCCACAATTTACCAGAACAGTCACATGCAGTATGTGGTGTGCTCTGCTAACCAAATTTAATACCATAAGGATATGCAAAATTTATACAGATTACTAACTTTGGGGCATCAGATTAATATTTTAGACACAATACTAAACTGCTTACCGAATTGTGGATAAAATTAATGTCTGTACAGTGCAGAAAAGCAGACACCCATTAGCTAAAACCCTGCAACGACAAACAGTTTGTTGTTTTAAAAATAAAATTAACATATTAAACAGTCAATGTGATTTACTGGGGGAAAAATAATAATTTATATTAATCAACCAATCGGTAACACAGTTGATAGATTAATCAGTAGAAAAATAGTCATTACTGGCAGTCCTATAATATAGTACAAGTGGACTGAGTGGGCTGTTTCCTGTGTGCTGTTTCCTGCGTGAGCGAGACTGGTTGCTACCACGCAAACTTTTAAACTATAACTATAACCAAAATAATAAGTTATAATTAAGCAATCGGATAAATCTTGGCAAGCTTAATAGT